TTCAGCAGGTGAGATCTAAAAGCAGGCTGTTCCAGTTGGGAAAAGTGCAGTGCAGAAGACGCTTACTAAGCTGAGAAACCAAGCTTGATAATAAGGGGGAAGCTCAGGGAATTCTGTAATTGCCTCCTCCTCCCTTCCCATTCACGAACCCCTCTGTGCTAAGGGATTTCAGACAAATTCTCCTTTCTTCCTCTGAATTGTCATTAAAACTTGCCTTCTCTCCTGTCTCCTCTCTGCAGTGGCCTCTTCTACAGCATCTTCACTGACCAGCTCAAGTGCAACTTGAATGTCATCAACCTGGACCCTGAAATTAACCCTGAAGGGTTTTGCATCCTCTTGGACTTCATGTATACATCCCGCCTGAATTTGAGGGAGAACAATATCATGGCCGTGATGGCCACAGCGCTGTACCTGCAGATGGAGCATGTGGTTGATACCTGCCGAAGGTTTGTCAAGTCTAGGTGAGCGCCATGAGTGAACTTTCAAGAGCCTAGGACAGTGTGTTTGGGTGGGAGGGGGGAGAACTGACAAAGTATCTGCAAGCTTATCCTTACAGGCTGAAAATGACTGGGTCTCCCTCCTTTTTACCTGTTTACAGTGAAGCAGAGATGGTGCCTGCTGTGAAGACCCCAAGGGAAGAGTTTTTGGCCGGACGGATGCTGAGCCACCCAGAGGTGATGGCTTATCGGAGCAGAGATGTCTCAGAGAATGGCATGCCTCTCCAAAATGGGTCCCTCTGCAATGGGAGGGCCTTTGCACCTGGCCTGATCAATAGTTTGTCTGGATCCCCCATTTCCTACCATGGATACAGCCCTCTCCCTCTAAATAGCTTTCTTGTGGATGATGAGTTGCGGGAGATGAGGATGCCTCTCTCTGAACTCTCGAGGGCAGGTGCCTTCCCCAAGGAAAGGATCCTGCCATGCGACAGCTCCAGGACGATCTCCACCGAGTACATGAGAACCATTACCGACATCTCGGCCAACATGTGCCACGCTACCATCTATGCTCCAAAAGAAGGTGCTGCTGAAGAAGCCAGGAGCGACATGCACTACAGCGTAGCCTCTGGCCCCAAACCTGTTGTCCCTTCGGTCCGGAGCAATCCCTATTTCTCTTGCGACAAAGTGGCCAAAGAGGAGGAGCGGACCTCTTCAGAGGATGAGATCAGCCAGCACTTCGAGCCCACCAACACCCCCCTGGACCGCAAGGGACTCATCAGCCCCCAGAGCCCCCAGAAGTCAGACTGTCAGCCCAACTCACCAACAGAGTCCAGCAGCAGCAAGAATGCCCGTATCAGTCAGAGCTCCAGCTCCCTCTTCACTAAGAGCCCCACAGATCCCAAAGCTTGCAACTGGAAGAAGTACAAGTTCATCATCCTCAACTCTCTCAATCAGAACACAAAGCAAGACAGTACTGACCAGAACGAGATGGGAACCCTATCTCCTCGCACCTACATGCCCATGTCCACTTGCCAGCAGTCCATGGAGCCGGAGCATCTCAATGTGCAATCCCCCACCAAGATAAGTGTGAATGGAGAAGACTCTACTATCCCACAAGCGAGCAGACTCAACAATATTGTTAACAGGTGAGAAGATTTCCACCCACACACACACCCCCCACCCCACCATGAGAGACAGGACTCCCTGTGCTGTTGGTGAGGGTTTGGAAGTGTGTGAAACAGCTGTAGCATTGGGCTGGGGAGTCCAGCCATGAGCAGGTGGAAGCCTCTGCATTTGGTGGAGCATTGCCAGTGACATCGACTGGGTGCCAGCTGTACCCACCTTAGTGGTGCTAGCCTGGCCTGGTGATGGAATTGGGAACATTGGGTCAGGAATTCCTGGCTCACTTCGGCAGCTCTGGACATTTTCTGGAGCCTGGATTTGCCCAACCTGGTTTCCACCAGACTCCCTGTACCTTCAAGCTTTTGGTTGTCTGTAAGCGTTGGAATGGCCAAACTACCAGGGAGCAGTACGCTATCCTCTGGACCTGGATGTTCCTAGAGAGCTTTGAGGTCATTTGGTGATGGGCATCTGAAGGATTGAGGCTCAGGGACCTGTTGCTGATCAGGGCCATGCTGTGCATCTCACCACAAAAGTGTTCCCATAAAACATGGCTGTCCCTTGTGTCTGGAAGGGTGCAAACAAGGGCCCAGTAGTTCAAGCACAGCAAGAGCCTTCTCATGGCTGTATGCGTTGCTGTCCTTCCACAGGTCCCGGGATGGGTCCCCTCGGAGCAGTGAAGGGCAGTCCCCGCTGTACATGCATTCATCGAAGTGCAGCTCCTGTGGCTGCCAGTCCCCACAACATGCTGAGATGTGCCTTCATACCCCTGGCTCAAACTTTGGAGAGGAGATGGGGGAAACCCAGTCTGAATACTCTGACTCCAGCTGCGGTGAGTCTTGCATCCCTGGTCACCTTTTTCAACCAGCAGGCAAGGGGGCTGCACAGTCTGGGGACCCATCCAGCTGGTGCCCTGTGTCCAAACAGGCAGTCGGACCTGTCTCTGATGCTGGTGGATCCCAAGGTGCTTTACAGTCCCCTCTTAACTGGCTGACCAGCCGCGTGCATGCATGTGAGGGACGCCACACATGGGAATTGCTTCCTTCCTCCCCTTCCCCAGCACCATCCAGATACCTTGTGCAGGGAGTTAGTCACCTGCTGCAAACTTGGCAGCTAAGGACAGGAAACAAAATGCACCCCACCCCACCAGAACCACAGGAGAACAAGCTTGGCAGATGTAATGACCCTAATGGGGATTGGGCAAGATGATGTGTCTCATGCATCCGTCATGGTATCTTCATTATCAGGGAGCCCAATGCGCACATCTGGAGAAATGCAGATAATGAGGCTTGCAACCTTGTTGCAAAACCCCACAAGCCCAGAGACAAATATCTGTGCACCCATCTGCCTGTAGCTCAGGGAGGGGCAGTGCAGAATTGTCACCTGTGGTGTGGGCAGAGATCCACAGAGGGAGCCCAGCTGTGGTGATGCTCAAAGCCACATACAGCATTTAGGGGTTAGGCACCTTCAATCTGCCTTGCGCTTCAGATGATGATGGTCTTCCCGTGCTCACGGAAGACATCTGTACACGTAAATGTTTAAGACCTCTAAAGGTTTTGGAGTTGCTCCAGAGTTGAGCATCCATCCTTTGGAGGATGCCTGATAACCTGGGTGCCTTTGTGGACCTCTCTGAAAGATGTCCAGGCAAGATGCTGGCTTCTTGGAAGCTTGTGTCACACTGGAGAGATGGCTCGTGATGACTTTGCTCTCTCAAACCATGCGTGTGCTGCTGTGTGCACAAGGTCAGGAGGTACTGGCATGGTGTGAGCACCGCTGACCATGAACATCTGCACTTGGCTTCTTGTTCCAGCACTTGCTCTGACCGCCCCTTTCCACCATCCCAAACCCACCCTGTGGCCCATCGAGGAGCTGGCCCGCACATTGCCCATCTCATTGCTCTCCTCTCTACCCTCCCAGAGAACGGGGCCTTCTTCTGCAACGAGTGTGACTGCCGGTTCTCTGAAGAAGCCTCTCTCAAGAGACACTCTCTGCAAGTCCACAGTGACAAGCCCTACAAGTGTGACCGCTGCCAAGCCTCCTTCCGTTACAAGGGGAACCTCGCCAGCCACAAAACCGTCCACACAGGTACAGTGTTGGCCATGGGGACAACTGACGGGGGAGGCTGTGGGTTGCTGGGCGTGCGGGCACTTATGGCTGGGTTTGTCCCAAGCACAGTGTCACCGGCTCTGTGTCACAAGCTGTCCCTGATGGGAAGGGCAAGGTGCTTTTCTTGGCACTGCCAGGGAGCCCTTGGGCAGAGCCCCACACCTGGGAATGGGGGAGATGCTACCTGGCCTCACAGCAGGGATGGAGCTCAACGTCCTTTGCTGTAAAACACTGGGCACCACCCTTTCTAAAGGCGCCTTGCAAAATGCATGGCTGGGAGCAGATGCATGACCTCCAGGTTACTTTGTGGTAGACTTCAGAGAAAAAAAAAAAATCAAAAGAACATTTAAGGAGAAGTCTGGGATTTTTTTTCCCCTACATCCTAGAAATCCAAATCATATCTAGCTTGGCAGAAACTCTGCTGATGGGAAAATCTGTGAACGGATGGACTCTGTGAATCAACACAATGAAAGCTGAGAAAGGAAGGGGATATTAAGGGTTTAGTCATTTGCTGACAAACCTGGGGATTTTTTTTTTCATGCTTTTATTAATGCTTAACATTTCAACAGCCAGGTTACTGGCTGGGGAAGTCTGGGCTGACGACTCAGCGCTGCTGCACTGCATTAGGCACAAATTCCCGCAGCCTCAGCTGAGCTCCAGGGCTGCACAGGTGAATGACATGAGACGAATGTCAGGGCAGGGTTCGAGGACGCATGGAGTCAAAGCTCGAAACAAAAGAAAAAGGCAGGAAGGGATAGACAATGGCTGTTTCCCGCTCCCCTTCAAGCCCATCTTCAACCATCCTAAAGAAACTAGTTAAAACCTTTTTGCAGCTCCCCTCATCGCTGTGAGAAAGTCAGCCGGGGCTGGCAGCAGTGATTGCAACTGATAATGACTTGGGAGCCGGGTCGTTGGGTGTGCTTTGCCTTTCTGCTCTATCCACTCTTCTCACTCCTCTAAAGAGGTGATGAACGGCTGAGGCAGGATGTGCTGGGGATCACGAGGAGCCCAAGGGGAGCCAGGTGGCCCTGCATGGCTTACTACAGCTGTAGGGAGACGCAGGGTACCAGCCAGTGTCGCAGGACCAGGAGGGGTGATGCTGCTAAGCCTCGCTGGCAGATCTGCCCGACTTTCTCTCTTGCCCTGAAGGCTGCAGCTCCTAACATGAAAAAGAAAAGGTACCCATGGTACCCAGGTACTTCCTGAGCTCACCCTGCTCTGGGGACACCCCAGGCTGTCCTAACTGACACTGCTTGTCCACAGCCATCTCCAAAAGGGACAGAAGTCAGGGCTAGTGCTTCATGCCATGGGGCCTGCCACCTGAAGGGACCGTGCTTTGGGGAAGGCCATGGAACGTGGAGGCTGAGCACATCTATACTTAATCCCTCACCCTTTCTTTTGGGCTTGGCAGGAGAAAAGCCGTACCGCTGCAACATCTGCGGGGCGCAGTTCAACCGGCCAGCCAACCTGAAAACCCACACACGCATCCACTCCGGAGAGAAACCCTACAAGTGTGAGACCTGTGGGGCCAGATTTGTCCAGGTGCGTGTGGCCTCTGGAATTTGCAGTCACTGGGGAGGAGAACATGACTGGACCTCGTGCCCCAGACCAGTGACACTTCATGGCAGGGAGGAGGCTGATGGGCCACGCTTGCTGCCTTGGGCAGCTCTTCCCGTGGTGTTGCAGGATAAACAGGGGCCTTAAGGTCCATGTGGGCCAGTTTGGTTTAGCAGGAAGCCTAATTGCTGGTTTTAGCTCCTCTCCATTTGTTGTTAAAGATTGGAGATACCAAACCTTAGACATGCGTGGCCCTGACTCCCAGCTAGAATCCTGTAGACCAAAAAAAGACAGATGGGCAGAGCCCTGCTCCCGGTGGGATGCCCTTATCCCTGGGGCTGCCCTCACCCAGACCTGCTCTCTCTAGGTGGCCCACCTCCGTGCTCACGTGCTCATTCACACCGGGGAGAAG